ATTCGCCTTCTTTACCTTCAGTTTTGGGGATGTTAGCATCTTCGTGGCCTCTGGTTAAATAGTTTAGGAAATGGTAGTTCCTGTTACGAATCAACGGCTCTTCAAAAAAAAGAAAGAAGGTAAATAAAATGCTCAGCGAACTGCAAAATCTACGGCGCTGATTATATCTAAGCAATCTTTTTTTTTTTTTTTTTTTGTAAGTTTAGTTTATATTGATGTCGCTAATAAACAACGTCTGTGCACTACAGTGACAACACATGATAGGGATTTGGGCTCGGAGAAGCTAAAACGACTTCAATGACTCAGAATAAAAACAAATCAGCTACAGCTTTTGCAGATTTGTGGTATTCGAAAAATAGAGGGGCAATATGACGTCCGTAGGGTGGCGCGTACCTAAAGATCAAATAATGATTTTCGTTTCGGGTATGTCCGAACTAAACTTGTTTGAGAAAAAGAAAAAAAGATGTGTGTCTCGGATAACGACATGTCCCCTGTTCTCGTTCAACTAGCAAGTGTCCGTTTACTTTCTGTGTAACCAAATATCCGACATCCTTGTTCCATTTACCTTCTCGGGATAGTGTAATTTAATGTGTTTAATTGTGCCGACGGGCGCGGTAAGTAATAGAGGTGCCAAACAATGCTGATAGAGACCTCGTTGTTCTGTCAGTTTTGTTTTATTGTTCCTATATCTCAGGGTTACTATGGATGTCATTCATCAGCTCTCCCGCGTTTTTTGACTTGTTTTTAGAATTACAAAATGAGTCACATAATTTTCAACTACCAATCTAGCTCACGTCTATGTGACTTTAGCTCAGAGGATAGAGAGAAAGTAGGATGTCCGTAGACTCTCCCAGAGCTGGGATGTCGCCCAATGCTTGGATGCCATAGACTCGCTCAAATCTAAAATATCCCTAGCGGGGAGCGGGGTATTAGAAAGTAGTAAGAAACGCTTTCGAAGTTAGGAGGTCTAGAGGATGTTGACGCGTAATGCTGTAGACGTCCTAGTCATCGTTGACGGAAATCCAAGGATGACAAAAAAGGGAGTCAACTGTCCACGGAAATCCACCCGGTGCCATATAATTGCCATAGAGGTAATAGCACGGAAACAGCCAGTCCATAGAATGTCGAGACCGATTCTTGTATCTCGCGTCTAACACTGATGTGTTTACCTTTTACGAAAAATTTCGAGGACACTTAAGCACTTTTTATGAGTTGTGAATGCGAAAGCATGAATGTCGTTCCTCCGCTCGCTTAGTTCATCTGCGGTGTACTGGCGTGGACGGCCACGTTTCGCTACTCCCGAGGTTGCGGCCACCGACGACATAGATGCCTCAGGCGCCGCCATGCGCCGCCATGTTCGGCAACGTCTGACACGAGAACGGCGGCCGAGAGCGCGCTCTCGTGAAGCGATCGCCGATGGATATCTTTAAACCGTTTCGCTCAGCCAATGGGAGAATGGGCATTTCTTTCGCGTTCTTTCGCGGTTACAGACTCCGCCAGCTCCGCTTCATGAGGTAGTTATTGCTTTCGCAATAAAACAGTTCTTTAATTTGACATTAACTTTATGACTGTAGAACACATACAAAAAACAAAGTTGGAAACAGTAAAAAAAAAAGCCGAAACGTCATTCACGGTGGAGTTGCGACTTAAAGGTGATGCTTAAGCGTCCTTCTGTTTTTGAGCGCAGCTCTTAGGCGCCCGTTTCCGGCTTGAGCAGCGTCGCCGTCGCCGTCGGTGTAACTGCGGGGACGTTTCAGCATGATGACGTTTCGGCACCGTGCCGAAACGTCCGCGCGGGGTCACGTGACCCTCGCGGGGGGGGGGGGGGGTCAGGGGTGTCAGGTGACACCCCTCGGAGGGGGGGGGGGGGGGGTCAGGGGGGCTATGTGACACCCCTCGGGGGGGGGGGGGGGGCTGAGGGGGTCCCGTGACACCCCTCGGGGGGGTCAAGGGGGCTACGTGACACACCTCGGGAGGTCAGGCGGGTCAGGTGACACCCTTCGGGGGGGCAGGGGGTCACGTGACACCCCTCGGGCGGGGGTCAGGGGGCCATGTGACACCCCTGGGGAGGGTCATGTGACCCCCATGACGTCACGTGACCCCCATGAGATCACGTGACCCCCGTGAGGTCACGAGGGTCACGCGACGTCACGAGGGTCACGTGACCTCACGGTTACGCCGACGCCGCTCGGAGTAGCAGACAGGATGAGGAGGTGAGGAGGAGGGACGAGGGGTATACCCTCCCCTCAGAACCCTTCCCTCCTCCACCTCAAGAGCTACGCTCTAATTCGGCGTTACAGGTAGTTGTAAACGGCTTTCATTTTTTGTTTGCGCAAGAGTTAGAGGACTAAATTACCCAAAGAAAAGAAACGGCGAATAGAATAATGTGATGTAACAGTTGCTACGTCCAGTGTTACAGTGTACAGGCAAAGTCGATTGGTTTGTGAGCGCCTGTGCGTTTGTAAGCCAGCGCAGATGTTGTAGATAGTAGAGGGAATGATTAGTAAATCTAGGGCTCTCACGTTCAAATAAAAATGCATCTGACTGTCGGTAGGGTATATTCTGTAGTATTGGTTATGTAACTGGCAGTTGACATAGGAGGTGAAACGCTATGTAGGGGTTTAAAACAACAACAAGGACTAAAACAACCGCAGCAGCGACAAAGCAATGTTACGTAGTAACGCAGCCGTCGGATACCCCTTGTTCTGGAACTCCGCCGTTTTCAAGCTCTATTATATTTTGCCACAACAGGTGTCACTGAATGTAGGAAAAACATGGAGGATAGAGGGATGGAGCTTCTGAGACATCAAGCAAACTCAAAGAAAAACTTGTAAATACTTAAAAAGATATAGATGTAACATTTGGAACACACGTTATTCGTGCCTTTAGACAAAAATAATTTAGATACAACTTATAGTTACAGTGTATTTCGATTGACGGCACGCCCATGTTTTTTACTCACTGTTAAAACTGACTGCTGCTGACTGACTAACGCCTCGCCATTGTCCGAGCTCGCTCCGTGGGCTGCACCGATTGGCTCCCCCTATCGCGTTGCTGAAAAGTAACCGCTCCAGATATCTTTGAGTGTAGATAAGGCTGAATTTTCTACGCCACTATACTGAGGACCGGCGCGAGTCATATATATTGGACATGAGAACGGTGTCAGCGTTCAGGTGGGACTTTTGTTCTAACTGATATAACGCAAGGCCTAGCAGAACGTAGACATATGCGCACTCATATTTAAGCTATGCACCACGTTGGCCCTCAGTAGCTGTCGTATGAAATTCATCATTGCTGATTTCTGTGTAGAAGGGTTGGTCTGGGAACTATTCCTTGCAGGAAAGAGAAGCGTTTTCTTGTTTGTGGGATAAAAACAAAATTAGGGATGGAGTGGGGGATTTTCTTGCCTGTTTGCGAGCAAGAAAATGAAACCTGGCTTTCCGGCTCGCATAAATAAAGCACGCATTGCAGCGGAGACCTCAGCCAAAGCTACAAGCGCGAGCTAGCCCGCGCTCCTGGCTTTGAGACGCGCATTTCTATTGCGAGTGCTTGTTCTGCCGAAGAATGCTACAAAACAGTGACCTCGTCCTCTCGTGCCTGTGACATTTGCTGCAGTCTCAGCATAAAAGGGTTATGAAGCAATATCCGGTTGGAATGTTCATGACTTCACACAGGCGTACTGGTCCTAGACTGGCCCAAGTATACTCGCAAAGACCACCACTGATTCGGAAGCTTCTTTTCCCGCGGAGAAATTGCGAGAATAAAAAAAAAGCTGTTTTTTTTTTCAGGTTAGCTTTTGCAAAGCTAGATGACGTAATTGTGTGATTGAAACCACCCGCCTGACGAGAGTGGAGCGCGACTCATAGATTGGACACGAGAACTGCGTGAGCACTAGACTGGAGCTCGTAATAACCAATGCCTTGGCGGACACTCGGGTAGTGGCGCGTGTCCAACCATGATTGGACACATCACCGCAGTGCACTGCGGTGATGGGAATCTCCGAATTCTAACAATGCCTGGAGTTCAACACGGGTTTTCTACTTTGCCAACCCTAGCGCGTGGCTATGTGATCAACGTTGGCGGCATAGGATAGGCAACAGGCCACGTGGTCGCTTGTTCTGGCTCCGAGTTGAGGGAATGAACGATGCTCATATTTCTCGAATTTCCGGGCCATTGCCTAAAACAAAAAATAAAAAAAACAACTAAGGCAAGTTTTTTTAGCTATGAACGCTACCGAGTGATTTTAAGTAGTATTTAGCGAAAGTGGAAAAATAAGGGTGAACATAGTAATAGTGATAAAATGCGAAGCTTTGAGAACCTGACGTTACCTGGATCAAACTATACGAAAAACCCAAATTTGTCAATGAGTTGACGCTCACTTAAACCTAATATTTATAGTATCAAAAAATTGCATTGTGCACGGGCCTGTAACATTTATTTCAGTAAAAAAAAAAACGAATGTCAGCATAAAGGAAAACAGGATGTTCTTTCTTGCTAATGAGTTTCTTTCCTACTGAGATAAATGCTACAGGCGCCCACAATGTTGTCTTGGTTTGATGAACATTTGGCTTTGGTGGATGTTGGCTTATAATGAATTCTGTTTGTGTGTCTTTGATCCAGGTAACGTCATATTCTCAAACTTTCGCATTCTATTGCCAACTCGCCAGCTTCACATTCTCACCGAGTCTCAGCTGCATTACGTGCCTGCAATGCGTGTTTAGTTATGCGGATAGAAAAACCGCCTCTAATTTTTTCGATCGGACAAAGTAAAATCGTTGAAAGTCAGGGACGGACACGTCGATAAATATTTGATAAAATTCAAAGTGTCAGGGGCCGTTTTGTGAATCTAACACAGCAGAAATGAAACTTCCATGAATTAACCCTTGTCGTCTATAGAGTTGTGCAGGCCTTGACTGCTGTTTATTAGCTGTTTCCGGGTTTACTTGAAACACTACCCATGACGTAGTAGTGTGTACGACGTGCAGCGAAGGCCGGGCCCATTACGGAGTCGCTCCAGCATTTAGCCAAATCCAGAACAACCGAGTTGAGACCCTCGCGAAGACTGACGGCTGATTTGGGGCGGCACATGTTGTCCCCCATGATGTCAATCCGGCCAGCACGTAGCGGCCGTCACGCCTGGCACATTGAAGGGGTCCTCCGGAATCGCCCTGAAAATTAATATCAACGGTCCTTTGAATATGTCACAAAAAATAATAGGTCGCGTTATAACACTTTTCAATGCCCCCCCCCCCCCCCCCCACCAAAAAAAAAAAAAGAAAAAAAAAAAGAAAAAGCGATGAATAAATAAAATTGATACGACGGGTGCTATTAGCTCTTTCGAACACTTGATCGCTTACCTGGCAGGTCGCTTTTCCGCCTTCTTTGAGTCCCGCGCAAATCATTGTGTTTCTGTCGACTTGGTTAATGCCTCTGTAGTCCCTGCTACATTCATCGTATGACACGATGGGCAAATCTACTTTCAGCAGATCGGGATTCGCGGTGCTTCCCCCTTGGGACCCTGCAGGTTGCGCGACGAAGTAAAAAAATAACACGCGTTATTTGCCGAATAAGAAATATATACATTTAACCACATGCCTCTAAATTAACAACGACTTCCATCTCATTACCTGATACAAACATTTGTTTAGAAGGTTAAATATAAAAAAAAAGACCTATGCTACAGCTCTTGGTTGAACCAAGTGTGAACTTGATCGGAGTTGTAACCTAACATTAAAGTTTTTTGGTTTAATTGCACAAATTAAGTTATATGTATTAAATTTAAAAAAAAAGGAGCCGGATGTGTTTATCGACCAACTCACTGTTTACGAGCAAGTTCGCGGTTGCCCAGACCGGGTGTGGGCACTGCGCGTGCGCAGACACCACATTCGCCTGAGGCGAAGCATCTGCGCATGTGCAGTGGCGACACCAGCGCCACCTTAGTGGCGTGACATTAGATAATTGAGTTGGTCGCTTGTCTAGACGCAGCGAACGCTACGAGGTAATGGGACCAATCTAGCATCATGAAAATGGCAAGTCACAAGGTATTTCTTTTTCTGATTGGTTTAGCGATGACAGAAGACGTACAGAAACGTAACGAACATCATGATGGTGCACTTTTGGCGTTGTCTGCTTCGTCCCATTATGTTGTAGCGTTGGCTGCGTCTGGACGTAGGGGCACACGAAAGGAAAACGAAGTCCGTCATAAGAACAATAGCCCAAAATGTCTAAAAAAATCCAGGATACCAGGTAGGTATCAATACTTTCAGCTGCTGTGAATCAAAGAACGATATTGGGCCATACGTTCACTCATCCTTTATGACAACGCATTGGAAATCACCAAACTTACTAAGCATTTGGAAAATGCAAAGTCATAGCCTCGTTTCTTCATAACTTCTGAGGTTCCAGCTATTGCAGGATGTTGCTTCTCTACAAAATCCGCCCATCGAAAATATTAATAAGAGGAATTTTTTTTTTAATTCAGCGGTTTATAGAAATATCTATTTGAAGGATTAGTTTAGTGGAACACTAAGAAGGGCATGGACACATTTTTGAAGTACCTAGAGGTATGTCATGTGTGTTATAAATCAAAGGTTTCTGCGGAAGAAAAAGCATTTTAGCGCAATATTTACGCTGGGATATGGAATATAGGTGGAGGTCACCACTCGCTCTAGTCCTCACCCACAGAACGTTGGCCCCGGCCATTACCATTGGATTTGTTTGGCTGCTCGACCGAACACGTACCACCGTACACCGGACGTCGCAAAAGGGAATATCTCCCTTTTGCGACGTCGGGTGCGTTTAGTCTGCCGCCTGACGCCACCTACTAGCCGTGCAAGCAGACGCGAAGCAGCGTGCGGAATTGTCTGCTATTAGAACACACTCTTGGACAGTCTGAAATGTCCCTAAGAGGCTCCCATAAAAGCAGCGCGCTAGCGTCCGCCATCGCTTGCGTCCGTCTTCTATACAGGGTGTGCGGAGGTAAACAAAATAGACCTAGCCGAAATTCCTGAGGAAGTATGTTGCTTTTGCGGTTTACTATTGTTTGTGTTTGTTTTTGGAGGACTCGCAGTTTGTAGCGCGTACTTTCATGTTTCACCGCCAAGGACTAACTGCGGTACCTCGTGAAATTTACCTAAACGGGATCGACATGTCTTGATTCCTTGGGCGAAAAGAAAGAGCATTAGTTCCTCGAAGAAATGACAAAGCTGCCGAAGGTATCGTGGGTGTATCTTCACGACTACCTATTTGAGCCACCTGGTTCGTATACCTGAGAACGTCTTTAAACCGACATATCCTCAGACGCGTTCAACTACTTCGTGAACGGCAAGGGGTCGTCGATGGGCGCCTACCTCCCCCGGTCGACTAACATACGTTAGTCGACCGGCCAGGCACCCTTTTAAACAAAAAGAGTAGATCCGCGTTTTCCCGTCGCAAGTGCACGCTAGGCGAACCATCACGCTCTAACGCAGCTTCAAAGTTAAACCCCTAAAAAGAAAAAAAGAAATTACAGTCTAATTCCCGCAGTGGTCGCCCAGCTGCGACTTGGTTTTATCAATCTTCCAAAATATTTTATTATGCTTTCCTCCAGCGCGACTCGAGTCTTTGTAATATCGAATCTTTTTTAGTTTTTACTAGCTTGCTTTGGTACTCAAAGTTTCTTGACGATAACACCGTGTCAGACTGCATTTATATACGTGCCGAAATGGCCCGGATGGCATTTATAGTTGCACGTAGATGGTCGGTCGAAGCGCCGCTGGCGTCGCATTGGCCGCATTCTCTCGTTTGTCGTGTTGCGCCATCTTTCGGCAATACATCGAAACAGACGAGCACCGTCGGCTTAGTTGCAAGCACTGGAGCTCGGCGGCGTCAATGGTTTCCCTCGTGTCAATATAATCGGAATAACTTCACCTTTGACATTTTGCTCGTACCGGTGCGCACTGGCCGCTTAAAATCAATAGACTGGGTTGTGGGTTCTAATGTATGTATACCACCCCTTCTGAAACCGTCTGCATCGCTCGCAAGGCTCGAACATGCAGGCTGCTTTCTAGCGTTCCATGATGCATGAGTCACGGGCCATTGCAAGGAGAAACTGAGGGAGAGGAGGGGACGAGAGCGTGCGGGGATGTCAACACACCGAGCTCTGGCGTTTTGACTGGCTTTGTCTCTACCGCACTAGTCGAACGCATCAGAAAGCGGAAAGTCGCGTCCGGCGTTTGGCTCTTGCATTGGAACGCGTTCTACGAGTGTAATGGAGACTTCGGCAGCTAGCTTTAGGTTTACCCACTAATCATTCCAACCAGAGCTCGGTGTTTTGATGTCCCCACACACCCTCCTCTCCTCCCCTCCCTCAGTGTGCCGGCGCTTATAAGAAGGTAAAATATTTATATTAGGAGAGAAAGCTTATTCGGTGATCAATTTTGTGACGTATACAGGTACTTAAATTACCCTCTGAGTGGGTCAGTGTTTTTTAAGGCAATTCCATACTCATTAAAATACAACACTCATAAACACCTTTAATGGTGAGGCATTTTAACAAACGAGGTGAAATCGACCTGTACCCATCTAGTTCAGAACTAATACGACATATTTAGACATCCTTATGTGCATCAATTTTGTTAAAGACGCAGCTTGAACATACGAGTTTAACCGATATTCGCTTACTGTCTTTGGTAAGTCCCCATCCACTGGCGGTGCAGATCTGTCCATCAAAGTTCTGGTTTAAGGTGGGAAGACAGATGGGCATCAGATGCTTCTCCTGGCCATTGAAGTCGAGGGTTTTGTTCAGCTTGAGGATCGCATAGTCGTAGGTAATTGTCTTCGAATTGTATAGTGGATGCATCGTTATCTGGTTTAGTTGGGGAGGAACAGAAATGACGGCGTATATCAAGAAACCTTAGAAACTACAACAAACCGACTCTCATATGGAGTGCAAAGCTTTACCTATATAGAAAAAAAAACACGAAGGGTTTTTATTTAGTTTTTAAAATGATTGCATTGCGAATGATAGTTTAATTGAAGATAAAAAAAGTAATTAAGATTACGTTGTTTGAATATTCGAATTTTCGAATTGTTTCGAATAATGCGCTATTTGATATTGGCTTCGAGGTGAACTGCGATATTCGTACTTTTCGAAGTTCTTATCCTGGCAGGTTAGCCCCATTGATCGCGCTCCTCACCGTGCACCTTTGCACAGCGGGGAAGACAGACCCGGTGGAGCTCGCAAGCACCGCGGGTATTGCTTCTCCGTAGTGCAAAGGTGCTTGGCGAGGAGCGCACTCAACGGGGCTTACCCGCCTTGATTATGAAATAGTATGTTAGGCAGCGATCTTCGAACAGCCTTCTTTTATCATTCGTGCGTGGTTTTATTTTTGTGGTCATATATAAAAGGAAGAGTACTTGCATGTAGCAAGAATATTGAAAAGTCCCCTCGTTTGAGACAGCTGGAACAAATATGCCGTTTACATATCGTAGTTCGGGTATATAGTTATATTGAAATTAACTAAGGCTAGAAGTGGACGGCTGGAAGGTTAGAAGCAACCTTCATGAGTTCAGCTGAATTTTAATTTCAGCATGGTTCACGGTAGAGAAAGACTCACAGAAAGTATTTGATTATAAATTCGAAAATATTTGACTAAAAACACCATTAATTTCGAAATCGCTTCCACCTCAAAATCTACTATTTTTGCATGCATAAAAAAGTGAAAAGTGCGTGTAGTCAATAGAGACCGCTTCTTTGCTACACACTCAGAAAGTTTACACCCTTAAGGGTGTTGAGAATTTCAGAGGCTAATACAACATTTTCAATAATAAAATAAGATGATGTTGCATTTGTGAAGGGTGTTTGCCGCACTGATATCCGCTTCGGCCGAGGTTGGTTTAGCGACGAGCTCGAATAAGTATCGATTGTTCCAATGATTTTTATTTGGAGATATATCACTTGAACTTAGATAAATTATACTTTACGTGAAATATTGACGAGAACCAAGCAGCATACCTGTAACCTTCGTAATTGCGGAGGCGATCACGTGGGAATAAGTATATTTAAAATGTCGAAAATGAAAGACGATGGAGAATTCACTCTGGTCCTTATTCCTTTCTCGTGCGTCATGCATTGCGTCAGATTTTTTGTTTTTGTTTCTATGCATGCGAGAGCTACATGTGGTGGTTGATGCTGGTAGAATTGCTGATTTCCCCAAAAAGAACTATCCGTAGAATACTGCTGAGATCGTCAGCTTCCTATTTTTCGAGTGTCCACCAGCATCCTAAGGGTGCTGCCATAACCTCCTTCGGGTGTTAGTCCAGGGTCAGGTTGAACAACACCCCCAAGGGAGTAACACATTTTAATTTGAAAACCTAATTTCGGCTGCTGCGAACTTGGCTGTGGGGCTGCAAAATGTATATGAAAAATGTTTGCGTTAGAAATATAGAAATATAAATTATATTGAGATAAGATATAAATATGTTTTTTTCACATGCATTTTTTGTTTTATGTTTTTTAACGTAAAGAGGATATGTTAGACGCTTAAGGCTGGTTCACACACGTGCGTTTGAGTGTGACGAAGTGCGTTTCGCCCACCCCGTGACCGCCTGCGACAAGAGAACACACTCTTACACTAGCGCCATCTCACATGTTGCCCTTGAACGCTTCCGGTCTGCGTTTAAGTAGACCGAAAGCTTTGATATGCTTAGGAGATACAATCTACGTACTATATATACAGGTCAAAAGGTCGCTTCTAACATTGTCAAAATTGCTTGAAACTCGCGGTGAAAGATTACGCATAAAAGGAATTAGAACAATCTATACGCAGATAGTCATTGTTCCAGGGCTACCTTACAGATGGTACCATTTTGAAAGCGTAGTCTCTCATCGCAATCGGTCAAGAGCGGACACTGCGAAATCGGCTACACCCAAACGAAAATTTATAAACCATGCCTTTAGAGTTTTCAAGGATGGTTTTACTTGCTTTCTGCACACCAATCTTTTCTTCCGTGGGATCTTGAACTTCGAGATTTTGGTCCCCGACCACAACGATGAATTCTGCTGGTGTTCTGCCTTCCCTACAAAGTGTGAAGCATGCGCACCATATTTAGGATTCAACTGGGAGCCCTTTTTGACTATTTGTTTGTTCAAAACGATATTTATTATTGCAGGGTACACTTTTTCTGCACTCAGTGTAAAGCGGTTAGAGTTGCAGCTGTTCTGAATTAAGTAAAGAACAGCGTTTTACAACATTAAGGTTGTTTATAGCCTTCTACAGCAGCCGGTGCCAAAGAGATTGAACATGCTTGAAAACGCGGCATAAAACTGAATCTTGCAGCATTGCACCGGTGTGTATTACGAGAGCCCTCCAATACGCAATGGTCACGAAACTTCTCTTTACCGCTATGAGAGGGCTTCGTACGCGACCGCGCGGCGCTGGCGTAGACAAGGGGGCTGCCAATCTAACTTGCACTGGTGGGAGTCTTGCCACCCACAGGTGTGTCGGAATTTCGAACCATTCTGAAAGAGGGAGATTTACGTCGAGATAGTATGTCATCGCACTCATAGCGTTTCTTGTTAATGTAAACGACTTCGGCTCTGTAACTGCCTTAAGTGACAGCAGCGCCCCATGCGACAGCTATCGACCCTGTCCCCAGTTACGCGGTCTGTTCTATCTTTCAGTACAGTGTGAATACATTTTTCAATACACCAAACTTTGGCCAAAATTTTGTGACCAGTAGGGTTTGAAGGACCCTGGTGTTACTTTGTGTAAGCACTGCTACCCAGTAAACATTCTAGCTGTGCTGTCGCATTGCACTAGAGCTGATACCATTGAAGCGTACAAATTATTCAGCTAAACGTAACGGTCTTGCACAGTGTGAAGCCACGTAACACCATGAAGTCGCGTCATACCCTAACGTCACTTGACATCACGACGTAACGTGACGTGGTCTTGCTACGTCACTACCGATGATACCACTGATCTCTATTATAGGGGGCTCGATGGCCCATAGCCGCTCTCCGAGCAGGGCGCAAGTGAAGCCACCGGAAGTTTGATGCTTGTCCCGGAAGTTGGGCGTCTTCTCGGCTTCCTAGTGCATTCAGTCGATGTTTTGGTCCGTACTCTCCGGTGTCTTTGAGTAGGTTTTAATAATCATGCTCCGAATTAAATCCCGAAAATTAGGCGTTTGAACTTGGGACATATGCACACTTGATCAACTAGAATTTCAAAATGTTTACAGTGAATTGCTTCCCATGACACTTCTCGGGTCCGCATACGCTCTTACTACGCAACAAGCAGGCTCTCTTGACGTGACAAGAGAAAATCCAGCGCCCTCAAGGCTTCTCGGACCAGCTTTGGAAGGGTTACAAAGCCTGCCAAGCGCTCATTTCCGGGACAAGCCGCTTACTTCCGGTGACTTCATACCTGTTTGCTGAATGCGCCATCCAGCCCCCGATAATAGACATCAGTGGGTGATACCGTGCATGACGTCATATGACAATTTGACGTCACTTGCCACGGCAACACTACATAAAACACATCCGGGGATCCAGTACGAAACCTCACCAGAACGACTGCCGTCATATAAAATTCATTTTCTAAGTTTTGTAGTATTAGAAACATTTTGGGCTTCGGGTTTCATTAGCAGCTTGGGAGGTCACACGGCGCGTGCACAGTGCTACACCTCAAGCTGCTCGGGCGACCAAAGGCGTTCGGGCCTCCTATTCTGAAACTCTCTATTATAACCGTTATTGATAAATACACGAACGCCATCCCTTAATTATTTTTTTGCACGTACACGCAGTGGGCCGCTGTCATGACGTGCTGTTTGTTAATGATGGATCCGCCGCATGTGTGGCCTCTCTCGTAGTTGGCGGTGACGTTGAAGACCCGAAGAGAGATCTGCCAGGGGAACTCGAGGGGCGCTGCCTTCTCTCCGCCCACAATCTGTGAAATTCCGCCTGCGGTACCCTGGGCCCCACCACGGACGCCGCATTCTGCGCAGACAAAAATAAACAAGAAGGGTCGCAGCGAGCTTTATTTCCAAAGTTTTATAATTAGTGGTGTGCGAATCGGGGTTCGATTTGTACAGTGCAGTGCCCTGCCCAGCTTCAGCACTGCAAAGAGAGCACGTACGTGGCGGGTTTTGTCGTACTGCGAAGGCTTTGAATGACACAGCGCTCTTCGACTCTAACCTCATTTGGCACACCTCTAATGGACCATTTTCAAGAGTCTGTGACATCGCTTGTTCGCCGTTGCTTGGTCACTTACTCTGAGCATGTATTGAGCACGAGGCCTACGTCGGCGTTCGACGAGCGCTCGGATCTAATTACATGCTTTGCGCCCATCAATTCTGCTTAATGGTCTTTCAAAAGGGTCTATGAAAACGCATGGGACGCAGTGTTTCCAAAGAGGTCATCGGCGCATGCGTGACGCCGCCATAACTTCATTTCGCAAGAGGCAGACGGCAGTGCCCGAGAGTGTGGCTGCAAATTGGCACCATATCGTGCATAGCCCATGAAACAATTTTCCTTATGCGTGCGTGCCACCCCGAGTCTGTTGACGTAGCTACCATGGCCAGGCACGTAGCCAGGATTTTGATTAGGGGGGGGGGGGGGGGGGGCTGATGCCCATGACAAAATGCTGTATGAGGGGGAGGCGGTCAGGAGGTCCCAGCGAAGTGGAAGATTTCGGGGGGGGGGGGGGGGGGGGGAGGGGGGGGGGGCGGGACCTTGATCATGCTGTTGGTATAATTCGGGTT